AAGTATCCAGACCCCGAGAAATTCGACCCAGAGCGATTCACACCGGAGGCCAAAGCAAAACGGAACCCCTACTGGTACATGCCCTTCGGAATGGGCCCCCGCAACTGTATTGGTATGCGTCTGGCCCTGCTCGAGATGAAGATTATCCTTGTGAAGGTCCTGCAGAACTTCACGTTGAAGACATGTGCGGAGACACAAATACCACTGGTTCTATCTACATCAAATCCAATGAAACCCGAAAAGCCAATAGTATTGAAAGTTGAGGACAGGAATGCGTAAACTGAATGCCATGTTTGTCAATAATGTTAATTTTTTTCATTCGGAGGTACTCTATACGGGATTTCCGCGTCAAAATGAATTTCCTTCAAAAAATGCAAATTTCTCTTAATTATGAATGATTGCTTGGCCCGTACCAGTAATTTGATAATTTACTTGAACATGATTGGCCCTTCCTTTAGAATGGTATGTGTCTAATCGCAGTTCTAAATCGCAGCCCTGTGTCGTGTATAATACACACGTTGCGAGCTGTCAAATTGCTTGACAAGGTTTAAATAACACGCACTTAAAATAAAATTTCAATTTTGAATTTTTATCTTTTTGAGTGTCTAAAATGAGGACATGCAGATTTTCCAAGATCGGACTGACTGTAGAGAATTTTCAATCACGCGCAGAGTACCTTTAAACACGTAGACCTACTTTTCCCATCATATTAAACTGTTCCTTAGACATACTGACCAAAAGTTGATTTTAAGCATCGTATTTGAATCAACACGGTAATGGATTTTTTTTAAATAGCTTAGGGCAACGATGTACTTCAATTTTGTTAAGGTGACCTTTAGGGTGCTTTCCCAGAGATTTAGATCAATCTAAAGATTACAATTTAGATCCACCTAACTCCCTGGGGGTTCACGCTAAATTGCAGTCAGCCGAGCGGGCACGATAGTTAATTACCCACTTACAGCTTTTAGTAGGCGGGACAGACGCTTAAGCCGGCCAAACTGACAGTAATCTAGTGAGACTCCCCACATGGATAGATCGATCTAAAAATCTATGGAAATGGGGTGTTAGATAAGCTTATGCTTAAATGTTATAGAATTGTATTAAATGTACTAAATGCATTTTATATAGGCTAAATGCATGAACACCGTGAGAAAAACCAATGTTATATTAGACGAAGACGATTCCATCATTCTCACTACAATTTATACAAAAATTACTGACAGCAACATTTAAAAACAATGTACCAAGAAAAGTTGGCACAATTGCCATGTTTGTCTCACATGTTTTGTATTTGTGTAGAATCTGTTGTCGTTACCCAGCTTTGGAAATTCCTATATAACCAAGAGTGTCATATATTCGGATAGATAATTACATATATTTTACCCTTTTGAATAGATGTAAGTTGGCTAATGATTTATCCTATACGTTTATCAGATATGTTTATGGAGTATAATATGAGGTAACAATTCCTGCTTCGGACTTTGGTAGCTATTATACAGTGTTTATACAACCAAGAGTTGCATATTATGTTTGGATAAAGGCTCGCATATGTCTGTTCTACACTCTTGATTAAAATGTTTGTTCCACCTTTATTCTTATATAAATGATTGTATGGCAGCTTTAAACCGTTTTGAATAGTGTTTTTTTTTTCATATGCCGAATTTTACATGACTTACTGAAAGCCAAAATACCGGTGAGGATATCCATATCTTATACCATTAGTTTAAATTAACAACATTCGGCCATGTATCCCTTCAAATATGGTTTTCTCAAAACGATTTCCATCGAAGTAAAGAATGGCAATAATATCAAGAGGTCACTGGGAGTCACCAAATTTATACACATTTATGTAGCATCAGAACGTGCTTAAACGTGTTTAAAATGATGCTTATGTGGTGATAGTCATTGATCTCTATCCTTTACTAGCTACGCCACAGATCAAACTTGAATAAGAGGTACGGAGGAGACGGGAATTGATCAGAATTGTGCCGGAAGTGACGTGTAGTGGTGTAAGACGCGAAGCTGAGTGGTCTTTTTTAGCTGGAGGTGATCGGGAGTAAAGACGTGGACTCGGAGAAAAAAGCATTTTTTCTTACAAAACGACAAGATAACAATTCATCTATAGGCAGAGAATTCTTGTAGAAATAATTGGAGCATGATATGAAATCGTGTCACGGATTTTAAGGGTGAAAAATCGTGCTTAATTTGCAGTCAATTTGTTTTGAAATATATGCGGCATCAACCGCTAGCGCGACAAAGAGCGTCAAGGGAAAAGAATTCCCGGGAGGTTATTATTCGTTGTCATGTGGAATTTATGCATGTATGCAATCTGTTATGCCCATATCTAAGTATTTTCTGGGTGTTTTTTGGTATGAGCTGCAATTATAACGATGTTTTAGAGTCTTTGAAAGACCTTGTGAAAACCAGGAAGTAGTTGGCAATTGACAACTGAACCGTACCGATCCACGACTGTGCGTTGCAATAACGCAGAGTTTTGCAATTACTCATTTAACGGAAGAAAAAAACCGCGTGATGTCGGAAAGATGCCCAAGTCTGGAAATTTGGTGGCAGATCTTTCTTCTAAAGGGAAATAAACAGGGCTGTCTTAACTAAAAAAAGTGCGGGTGCACTACACTGTAGCACGGAACCTCAAAGGATGAGTGCGAATAAGGGGGTAAAAGTGCCCTCTTTTGTACATGAAAAATAAATTGTGAATGAATGAAAAAAAAATTGATGCCAAATTAAAGTTGGGGTCTAACACTTATATGATCCACATGAAAAAATATTTTTTATTGAATTTGAAATATAAAAAATTAATAGCAAAATGACCTTGTCAAATATTCATAAAAATGTGTGTTTTAGGGTGGGGCTGAATTGTAATGCTACATATCTTTAGCTATAGTAACGTGACAACTGTGAAATTTTGTAATTGGGTACAGAAGTTGCCAGTGTAAAAGAGAAAGGCAATAAGTGGCCAATCACTGCTTGTGATCAATATTTTGATTGCTTTATTCTTAAATGTAGTGCTGATTGAAAGAAAAATCTTACCGTGACTTGAGGTTAAAAGATGTTCATTTTTTATATGAGCCAATGCCTCAGACAAGCTAATTATTCACGGTTGAAAAGATATGAATATAAGGTGAGATATATGTGAAAANTGCCATCCAAAAAAAAAAAAAAAAGGAAATCTGTGAAAAGCTATTGACTTGGTAAATATTCCAAACAAGAGACCACCAGAAGTTTACCAGATAAAAGAAGCTAGCCAATATACTGATGAGCATCTGCTAGATGGCCAGTTTGATATCAGTGTATGCAAGGATGCACCTGATTTAATCAGAGCCAAAATAGTTAATTAAGGCACACATCTATTGCCACCAGTACACCTTATGGATTCAGACCTCCCATAGCAAAACTAGACCCATCAGTGTCTGGTACTGACAGTGTAAAGCTGGTTCCAAGACAGTTGGAAGTTGTGCACATATCACTTCAGTCCTGTGGTATGTGGGGTTTGCTATGAGGCAGGGATACAATCGAAAATTATGTTGTGGAGAAGGCTGTTTGGATACCTCACATTTACCAACATCAAGTGGTGACAGTATTAAATGAAACAAAAAGTGTTTTGGACAGCACATCTGATTAATCATCTTTTGTTTCTTTATACATTTTTTATACTCATATTTGTATATTTTGTATAAAATAACTATTGCATTGCATTCTATACAAGCTCTTTATCACATACATAATCATATATGAAGTACTTTTAAGGTGATTTAATTTCATTGTCATACAGATTATTGGCCATAACTGTTATTATGTGTTATATATTTTCATTTAGTTTTTAGTTATATCTTATTATTATTTTGGTACAATTTAAACCTTGTTTATTTTATTGTTAATGGAAACATTCCAAATAGCTGTTTAGAGTGCTTTTACACATGCTTTTTTTGTTGTTACTGTAACAGCCTTTTGCTTTTAGCATTTTTTACTATTCCTTAGAGCCTTGTACAAAGTGTGTATTGGTTAAAAATACAATTATTTAGACCAACAAATGCTGGTCTGTGAGAAAAGTTGTATAAAATTAATAAATACACTGCAACAAGTTTTTCTAGTTACAAGACTTTTATACAGTGAAGTGAAATCAGTGATGGCTTCTGTGAGAAAATACCGTAATATGCCACCCCTCCCTCTCTTCTCTAGGATTAAAAAAAACATAATTACTTTCCCATTTACTTGTGCCACACCACAATTATTTAACATATAACTCTTTTACATCACAAGACAAGTTTCATTAGACAAAAATATAATTTATGTAATATATATGCTGAAACAAGTTTCTCTGATTCATTAGCCTGCATACAACAGGTAAATCCGGCTTCCCCCCCCCCCCCCCCACATACAACTCATTAAAATACTAAGTTACGATGCCTCAAACCAAATAATATTTTATCACACAACCAATATATGTATAAACTTTATAACAGCAAATTAAAAAAAAATTACGATGGGCACTTTGCCAATGGTTATTCGCACTCATCCTTTAGGATAGATTACGCCATACTGTTAGCAATCACTTTGTTTAGGCTTCAAAATACTCCATCAATTTCGTTCAGGGTTTTGCATTTGACTTTCGTACACGAGCGTGGTATTTTCGGTCATTTTCTGTAGTATTTCGTGTTTTTTAGATCAAGGTGACAGCCACGGAAGCCAGGCGTGCATTTTCAAACAGTCTTAGGGACGCTGCTGCTGCTCCTACTCATGCGCAGACATTTAAAGTCCTGTGCTTTTGATAACCTTGTGCGCCTATTCAAAGACACTGCTTGACGCCTGGGTGGGCTCGGGAGTGGCTCGGGACACGCAGTTAATGCGACAAATTGAACAAACTACCGTGAGTGATCGACTAAAGTAAGCGGACATTAAGTCGAGACGATTTGTAAATAGAGTGATAAGGGGTGACCCTGGATAACCGCAGCTGGGCTCCGTTATATTTTACTGGTCACCGATCTCCCTTCACGCAACAAGGTCGCCATTTTCAGTCCCGGTTTATTTGCACGTATACAGAGTAGGTCATAGTTGCTGTGCAGCCTTCGTTAGCATGGATTTCTTCATCCTTCCGTCCTGGTTAGTCGTCGTGGTGGTTGTGGCCGTCCTGACCATCATCTACCTACACTACAGCAAGGACAACAGGCGGAAGTTTGGCCTTCCAGGACCACCTCCATTGCCAGTGTTTGGGAACATAATAGACATGTTCAAGTACGGCCTATGTGGCTTAGATCGCCATTTTATTAAGATGTACGGCAAGGTGTTCGCGCTGTCTACAGGTGTTTTTGGGCACTTTTTAGGGGACATTGTGATCGCAGACACGGAAATGTTAAAAGAGGTGATGGTGAAACAAGCAAGCATCTTCTCGGATCGGAATGCAGATCCGGACACACTTGTGACACCTTTCGATCAGTCGGTGTTTTCAGTGAGAGGTGAACATTGGAAACAGGCAAGTCAAATAAATCCTCTTTTTTCACCCGTAGCCGTCTCATTTTGTTTACACAGTTTTATCACGCGCGGCAAGGTCGATCAGTAACGTTTGATATTAGGGATTACAGACGACAACAGTAATAGGAGGCACTAGTTGTTGAGGACCTGTCGTGCCTCCGGTGTCACGTGTACGGTCCGTTCTGCGTGAACCACCGTCCTGACCAATTATACAGGTACACGCAGGAGACGCATGTATGAGCCGTTGTTATTCACCTGGGCTGTTATATTCGGCCAGTTCATTTCCTACCTCATTATATTTACTATAATGGGGGTATTTCTAGGTAAAATACACAGGTACATGTGTTAATTGATAATTTTGATAGAGAATCGGCGAGAAGTTACAGTTCGGTGCATCGATGAACCTACCGTGGACGGGTCGCCGTTATTCAGTTGTTGGCCTACTGTATATGTATTTTTGTATTGATTTGTCTTGCTAGTGTGTTGATTTGGCCACCTGAGGGAAATCGCAGTAGAGATGAACAACTATAAGATATTAATACTTCTCAGGATGATGTTTGAATGTACAGTATGTTCTTAACAGAGCATGTTTATTAAGTCTAAGGGCGTATTCCCATAGATTTTAGATCGATCTATCCCCGTGGGAAGTCTAACTAGATTACTGTCACGTAATCCGGCTTAAATGTCCATCCCGCCTTCTACAAGCTGTAAGGAGGTAATTAACTTTCGTGCCCGATCGGCTGACAGCTATTTAGCGTTAACCCCCAGGGAGTTAGGTATATCTAGTTTGGATCGATCTACTCTCTGGGAATGGGGTCTAAGAATGTATTGCTGACTCGATAGAGACGGACTGTACATGCCTGCGCTTTGTGCGCATGAACAGAACGGACGGTTCACGCTCCGAACGATTCATGCCACACCGGACTCCAACTACTGTACCTATAGGCTTATCAGGTTTCTACCCATTTTGACATTCCATGCTGCTGCGCAACTACAATGTAAGAACACTGCTACTGGAACTGACCCGTGGCGATACATGACTAAGACCCCATTCCCATAGATTTTAGATCGATCTATCCCTGTGGGGAGTCTCATTAGATAACTGTCAGCTTAGCCGGCTTAAGCGTCTGTTCCGCCTACAAAAAGCTGTAAGGGGGTAATTAACTATGGTGCGCGCTCGGCCGACTGCAATTTAGCGTGAACCCCCAGGGAGTTAGGTCGATCTAAATCCCTGGATCGATCTAAATCTCTGGGAATGCACCCTTAGAACAGCTGTTATGTTCGTCATTGAACATAGGGATGGCAGGGAAAATAATAACCCACAACAAGCATGGATTCCTCATCTAGTTTAATGGCTGAACAACAACGCGTCTCGCGAGATTACATCATGTGTTAGTCATGTATAAATACGAATACACTACAGTTCTGCCTCATGGACAATGTTTTGACAATCTAGGACAGGTTTAAAAAGAAAATCTTCAAGGTCAAACTTGGTTATTGAATTAACGAAAACGAATTATGTGTCATGTAAAATAACAAAGACAGAGGTTTTCAACCAGTCTTTCAGATTTTTGTTACCAATCTTTCCCTTTTGTTCCCCATTCAGTCAATGTACGGAGGCCAAGTTCTACTGTGTATACAATTCGTATTTCCCATATTGAACGCAACTGTGTCCCAAAATTCTATCACTTTGCCTACTTCACTTAAAGGGATAATAACTCTTCGTTTTGGCCAAAAAATGAATTTTCCTGGAGTAAAGAACAATTTTCCCGTACTTACAAATAGTTAATGAATGCATTTTTACATTCAAAGTTAGTCCCTGTTTTTTTTTTTTTTTTCTAAAAAGTTTGTTTTTTTGTTAAAATCTGTTAAGAGATTATAACAGAGTATAGCCATCAATGGAGGTCACGTGGTCTGAAGACAAGCTCAGATAACAGAGTATAGCCATCAATGGAGGTCACGTGGTCTGAAGACAAGCTCAGATATCAGAATACATAGCTTTGACTGCTGTTTTTGTCGTAAAACAGAATATATTTCTATGAGTTATTCACAATGTTTTTATTGTGAAATATAGACCTCATACGAAGAGTTATTATCCCTTTAAACATTACTCTGTGTGGAAAAATCCTAAAATTAAAAATTTTAGTGTCTTCTTGCCTAGCTTATTAACTTATAATGTTGATGTAGTAAGACGATGTAGCAAGCTTCAAGTTTCTTTTCTTTAGTGGGTTATCATGAAAAACACGTGGGGCCATTTTGAATTATTTTTGAAAATGGCGTCTGAAAAAATGACAGGTGTATCTTATGACTTGGTGTCACTAAAACTCGAATGGCTTTTTATCTAAATGAGACAGATCAAACATTTTTACTTTTTATTCATACACAGATATATAGCTATGATATTTGTGTATCTATTAGAAAAAATAGGCCTATAGAGCATGATTGTTTTGACTTAACTTTTCAAACAAAACAATCATGCATATTACACTCAAAGAGTAATTTTTTACTCAGATTTAATATCAATGAAATTTACCTAACCCAAAAACCTACTGTTATCGTTCTAGATGCGAAGCACGTTAACTCCAACATTCAGTTCTGGAAAACTGCGACGCATGGAGGCAATGATTCTGAAGTGCGCCAACACCCTGATCAAGAACCTGAAGAAGAAAGCCGAAGCTAAAGAGAGTTTTGACAACTCAGTCTGGGGCTGCTACACGATGGACGTGATATGTGCTACAGCTTTTGGGATCGAGGTTGATTCATTGAATAACCCTAATCACCCGTATGTTACAAATGCCGAACGTGCTAATAGTTTTAAAGTGACAGATCCCGCAGTGCTTGGCATTTTATTTTTTCCACGATTGATGAAAAAACTACAACACATTCTACGCTACGTTCCCGGATTCCGTGGGGTATTAATGTCTTTCCTGTTTTTTGGCAACGAAACAAAAGAGCTACTGAAAGAGAGAGAACAAGCCCAAGAGGGACACTACAACGATTTTCTACAGTTGATGCTTACCGCCCATACCATGTCAGCAACCGAAGTTGGGGACGACGAAAAGGAGGTTCAAAAATGGAAGAAAAAATCTCTAACGACGGAGGAAATTGCCGGTAACGGGTTGTTATTCTTTAGTGCAGGGCATGGCACCGCAAGTGATACCTTAGGGTTTACGACATATCTCCTAGCGGCCCACCCCGACGTCCAGCAACGACTCATCGAGGAGATTGATGACGTTCTTCAAGGCACAGAACCCAGCTACGACAACGTGTCAAAGTTGACCTATCTAGAGCAGGTCTTGAACGAGGCAATGAGGCTGTATCCCGTAGGGTTTCGCATGGATCGAGTTCCAAACCAAGACACCACAGTAAACGGGTTATTCATCCCCAAGGGGACGTGCGTGATTATTCCGATCTACGCTATCCACATGGATCCTGAAAAGTATCCAGACCCCGAGAAATTCGACCCAGAGCGATTCACACCGGAGGCCAAAGCAAAACGGAACCCATATTGGTACATGCCCTTCGGAATGGGCCCCCGCAACTGTATTGGTATGCGTCTGGCCCTGCTCGAGATGAAGATTATCCTTGTGAAGGTCCTGCAGAACTTCACTTTGAAGACATGCGCGGAGACGCAAATACCACTGGTTCTCTCTACATCAAATCCAATGAAACCCGAAAAGCCAATAGTATTGAAAGTTGAGGGTAGAAATGCGTAAATTGAATACCATGTTTTCCAATAGGCCTAAAGTTAGTTTTTTTCATCCGGAGGCACTCTATACAGGATTTCCAAGCCAAAATGAATTTCTTTAAGAAAAAAAAAAAATTCTCATAATCATGCTTGACTCGTACTTGTAATTTGATAATTTAGCTGTAAATGATTGGCCCTTCCTTTAGAATGGTATCTTTCAGACCCTCCCGGGCATGGCCTAGTTTTCATTTCCTTCCACTTCATACCACAGGAAAATAGCGCAGTGCTAAATTACAGCCCTGTGTTGTGTATAATACACACGTTGCGAGCTGCCAAAGTACCTGACAATAATTAAATGACATATCAGGCACTAGGTATGCTTAAAAAAAGATTTACGGATTTTTATCGTTTTTACTGTCTTAAATGAGGACGTGCAGATTTTTCAAGATCAGACTGACTGTCGGGAAAATCCAATTCCGTGCAGTGTACCTTTAAGTTTAAACACGTATTTTCCATATCATATTAAAGTGCTCCTTTGAAATGCTGAGTGAAAGTTGATTTTAAAGCATCGCATTTGAGTTAATACCGGAAATGGATTTTTATTTTAAATTATTTTATTCAAAGATTGCATTTCAATTTTGTTAAAGGAACCTTGGAATAGACAGTTGCTTAGTTGTTATAGAATTGTATTTATTATACTAAATGGAAAAGTATAGAAAGGACAGGGTATTTAATATATGCTAATTGATCATCGTGAGAAAAACCAGTTTTATTACATTGAGACGATTCCATCATTCTCACTACAATTTATACTTTTACTTAAATTTGAAAATGCAATTGGGTTTTCAAAAATAACTGACAGCAACATTGAAAAACAATGTACCAAGAAGAGTTGGCAAAATTGCCATATTCATCCCACATGTAATTGCTTTTGTGTAGAATCTATTGTCATTACTCAGCTTTGGAAATTCCTACATAACCAAGAGTGGCATATATTCGGAAAGAGAATAGCATATATTTGCTCTTCTTGAATAGATGTAAGTTGGCTAATATTTTATCCTAGCAGATATGTTTATTTAGTATGTTCTGAAGTAAAATTCCTGCTCTGGATTTTGATAGCTAATATACGGTATATATACAACCAAGAGTTGTATATTATATATGGATACAAACTCGCATATGGTTGTTCTTTACTCTTGATTAAAATGTTTGTTCCACCTTTATTCTTATATACATGATTGTATGGCAGCTTTAAACCGTTCTGAATAGTGTTTTCTATTCCATATACCGAATTTTACATGACTTACTGTTAAGAAAAGCCAAAACACCGGTGAGGATATCCATATCTTGTACCATTAGTTCAAATTAACAACATTCGGCCATGTATCCCTTATATGGTTTTCTCACAGTGATTTCCATCGAAGTAAAAACTGGACATAAAATTAAGAGACCACCGGGAGTCACCAAAATGTATAAATAATTAGCATCAGAACGTGTTCAAAAGTATTTAAAATGACGCTTAGGTGGGGATTGACCTCTATCCTTTTCCAGATACGCCATAGATCAAACTTGAATTGAGTCAATTGCTATCCCAGTGTCACGACACTGAGGGTCCGCCTGACAGAGAGTCCTATCTCCATATAGTTATAATGGTTAGGGTTAGTTTGACCCAAGTAGGTCAAAATCTAGGGCGAGGCTCACCTGTACAAATGAATGGGAAGCGGACTCTCTGTCATGGGAGACTTCCAGGTAGATGGCATTGCTTCTCAAGACTGCCCTTTCATCTCAGAGTGCTGTCTTCTCGGTTGGATTATCAGCAAAATAATTTATTTAATTTTTTTTTCGAAAGTCACATCACTGCTTTTGCTTTATCCAATCTTACATTTTGATGTTTTCTTCAGTGCCCTCCCCTCCTCTCGGACCTTGCTTCTCAAGACTGTTCATATTGTCTTACAGTACCCGGGGCAACTCCACAGTGGCCATTAGAAATGGCAAAGATTGCTCAAATCCAAAACTGCCAAAGTGTGAACCGCTTTAGCTCTCGTCGTGCTCGATAACTTCACAGGTGAAGTCAGGCGTCATCTCACTGCAAACCAAAATGAAAATAAAAGCATCATACATCATCTGGCCAGTTACGTTCCGGGCAGTCTTATCAATAAAAGCGACCAAACTTGATATTGTTTCGGTAGCTTTCCCGCTTTAGCACCACGTCATACCGCATGTAAACTGCGTTGAGCAGAAAAAGAAGGTATTCTGTCGGCGGAATTGTTCGCCAAATATGTTCTCTTTCTAAAAAATCACATGGTTGCTATTGCTTGAATGGAAAACGCACCATCTTTAACACATTTGAACGTTTTTTAATGATTCCCTCTTTTCAGGGGCTTGCTAAAACTGAAATCGTCACATTGTGCTCTTTCACGTCGTAGGTGATACCAAACTAAATGTCATCTCAAAACAAAGTCATAGTGAAAAAAGGAATCTATGTGGGAACGCTCCGTGTTGGCTTCTCAACCAAGGTCTCATGTACATCATCTACTTCAACGTTCAATGATAATACAATGTTCGGGGAAAAGCGTTGTGCGGGATGAAATTCATTTTTTTATGGCTCAAGGCTATCGATTAGAATTTCGGACATTTACATGTGCATTCAAACTGGCCCTCTTCATGACAAGGCAGAAAGTTTGCATTTGATCTCTAGTTTTTCGAAAGCTTCCGCGGTTCCGTGGTAACTCCGATGACTGGAACGCAGCTAGGGACACATTCGTAGGTTCGAGTACTAGAACGTGCACCTCCATTTTTGTTGCAGGAAATCATTTCTAAACTTTTTCTTTGGTTACTATAAGAGGAAACTCGTACCCACGGAGGGTGGGCGGGTCACTCACGGCGCAATCGGTAGCGTGCAAGGCTGTTAAAAAAGATCCAAACCAATCATCTACCATGGTAACGAGTCACGAGTAGTCACGAGTTCGAATCCCGGATGAAGCATGTCACCTTCCCCTCGGATACTAGCAGGTCATGTGATAAGCAAGGCGCGAAAACGAATGCACGCTCTCGTCGGTCCCGGCAAATTACCTTTTGCATTAAAAACCGGTATAGTTTCGCATAAGAGATCGATTTGACAATAACTTTTGCTGGTCCTTATCAAAATGTCTGCCTCGTCGATAACACTTCTTTACTCTTCATTTAGAGGATCTTAAAACAGGGCCGTAGCCTGAGCAAGANAGGATAGATTACGCCATACTATTAGCAATCACTTTGTTTAGGCTTCAAAATACTCCATCAATTTCGTTCAGGGTTTTGCATTTGCCTTTCGTACACGAGCGTGGTATTTTCGGTCATTTTCTGTAGTATTTCGTGTTTTTTAGATCAAGGTGACAGCCACGGAAGCCAGGCGTGCATTTTCAAACAGTCTTAGGGACGCTGCTGCTGCTCCTACTCATGCGCAGACATTTAAAGTCCTGTGCTTTTGATAACCTTGTGCGCCTATTCAAAGACACTGCTTGACGCCTGGGTGGGCTCCGGAGTGGCTTGGGACACGCAGTTAATGCCACAAATTGAACAAACTACCGTGAGTGATCGACTAAAGTCAGCGGACATTAAGTCGAGACGATTTGTAAATAGAGTGATAACGGGTGACCCTGGATGACCGCTGCTGAGCTCCGTTATAATTTACTGGTCACCGATCTCCCTTCACGCAACAAGGTCGCCATTTTCAGTCCCGTTTTATTTGCACGTATACAGAGTAGGTCATAGTTGCTGTGCAGCCTTCGTTAGCATGGATTTCTTCATCCTACCGTCTTGGTTAGTTGTCGTGGTGGTTGTGGCCGTCCTGACCATCATCTATCTACACTACAGCAAGGACAACAGGCGGAAGTTTGGCCTTCCAGGACCACCTCCATTGCCAGTGTTTGGGAACATAATAGACATGTTCAAGTACGGCCTATGTGACTTAGATCGCCATTTTATTAAGATGTACGGCAAGGTGTTCGCGCTGTCTACAGGTGTTTTTGGGCACTTTTTAGGGGACATTGTGATCGCAGACACGGAAATGTTAAAAGAGGTGATGGTGAAACAAGCAAGCATCTTCTCGGATCGTAATGCAGATCCGGACACACTTGTGACACCATTCGATCAGTCGGTGTTTTCAGTGAGAGGTGAACATTGGAAACAGGCAAGTCAAATAAATCCTCTTTTTTCACCCGTAGCCGTCTCATTTTGTTTACACAGTTTTATCACGCGCGGCAAGGTCGATCAATGACGTTTGATATAAGGGATTACAGACGACAATAGTAATAGGAGGCACTACTTGTTGAGGATCTGTCGTGCCTCCGGTGTCACGTGTACGGTCCGTTCTGCGTGAACCACCGTCCTGACCAATTATACAGGTACACGCAGCAGACGCATGTATGAGCCGTTGTTATTCACCTGGGCTGTTATATTCAGCTAGTTCATTTCCTACCTCATTATATTTACTATAATGGGGGTATTTCTAGGTAAAATACATGTGTTAATTGATAATTTTGATAGAGAATCGGCGAGAAATTACAGTTCGGTGCATCGATGAACCTACCGTGGACGGGTCGCCGTTATTCAGTTGTTGGCCTACTGTACATGTATTTATGTATTGATTTGACTGGCTAGTGTGTTGATTTGGCCACCTGATGGAAATCGCAGTAGAGATGAACAACTATAAGATATTAATACTTCTCAGGATGATGTTTGAATGTACAGTATGTTCTCAACAGAGCATGTTTATTAAGTCTAAGGGCGTATTCCCATAGATTTTAGATCGATCTATCCCCGTGGGAAGTCTAACTAGATTACTGTCACGTAATCCGGCTTAAATGTCCATGCCGCCTTCTACAAGCTGTAAGGAGGTAATTAACTTTCGTGCCCGATCGGCTGACAGCTATTTAGCGTTAACCCCCAGGGAGTTAGGTCGATCTAGTTTGGATCGATCTACTCTCTGGGAATGGGGTCTAAGAATGTATTGCTGACTCGATAGAGACGGACTGTACATGCCTGCGCTTTGTGCGCATGAACAGAACGGACGGTTCACGCTCCGAACGATTCATGCCACACCGGACTCCAACTACTGTATCTAGGCTTATCAGGTTTCTACCCATTTTGACATTCCATGCTGCTGCGCAACTACAATGTAAGAACACTGCTACTGGAACTGACCCGTGACGATACATTTCTAAGACCCCATTCCCATAGATTTTAGATCGATCTATCCCTGTGGGGAGTCTCATTAGATTACTGTCAGCTTAGCCGGCTTAAGCGTCTGTTCCGCCTACAAAAAGCTGTAAGGGGGTAATTAACTATGGTGCGCGCTCGGCTGACTGCAATTTAGCGTGAACCCCCAGGGAGTTAGGTCGATCTAAATCCCTGGATCGATCTAAATCTCTGGGAATGCACCCTTAGAACAGCTGTTATGTTCGTCATTGAACATAGGGATGGCAGGGAAAATAATAACCCACAACAAGCATGGATTTCTCATCTAGTTTAATGGCTGAACAACAACGCGTCTCGCGAGATTACATCATGTGTTAGTCATGTATAAATACGAATACACTACAGTTCTGCCTCATGGACAATGTTTTGACAATCTAGGACAGGTTTAAAAAGAAAATCTTCAAGGTCAAACTTGGTTATTGAATTAACGAAAACGAATTATGTGTCATGTAAAATAACAAAGACAGAGGTTTTCAACCAGTCTTTCAGATTTTTGTTACCAATCTTTCCCTTTTGTTCCCCATTCAGTCAATGTACGGAGGCCAAGTTCTACTGCATACACTGTGTATACAATTCGTATTTCCCATATTGAACGCAACAGTGTCCCAAAATTCTATCACTTTGCCTACTTCACTTAAAGGGATAATAACTCTTCGTGTTGGCCAAAAAATGAATTTTCCTGGAGTAAAGAACAATTTTCCCGTACTTACAAATAGTTAATGAATGCATTTTTACATTCAAAGTTAGTCCCTGTTTTTTTTTTTTAAAGTTTGGTTTTTTGTTAAAATCTGTTAAGAGATTATAACAGAGTATAGCCATCAATGGAGGTCACGTGGTCTGAAGACAAGCTCAGATATCAGAATACATAGCTTTGACTGCTGTTTTTGTCGTAAAACAGAATATATTTCTATGAGTTATTCACAATGTTTTTATTGTGAAATATAGACCTCATACGAAGAGTTATTATCCCTTTAAACATTACTCTGTGTGGAGAAATCCTAAAATTAAAAATTTTAGTGTCTTCTTGCCTAGCTTATTAACTTATAATGTTGATGTAGCAAGACGATGTAGCAAGCTTCAAGTTTCTTTTCTTTAGTGGGTTATCATGAAAAACACGTGGGGCCATTTTGAATTATTTTTGAAAATGGCGTCTGAAAAAATGACAGGTGTATCTTATGACTTGGTGTCGCTAAAACTCGAATGGCTTTTTATCTAAATGAGACAGATCAAACATTTTTACGTTTTTTTTCATACACAGATATGTAGCTATGATATTTGTGTATCTATTAGAAAAAATAGGCCTATAGAGCATGATTGTTTTGACTTAACTTTTCAAACAAAACAATCATGCATATTATACTCAAAGAGTAATTTTTTACTCAGATTTAATATCAATGAAATTTACCTAACCCAAAAACCTACTGTTATCGTTCTAGATGCGAAGCACGTTAACTCCAACATTCAGTTCTGGAAAACTGCGACGCATGGAGGCAATGATTCTGAAGTGCGCCAACACCCTGATCAAGAACCTGAAGAAGAAAGCCGAAGCTAAAGAGAGTTTTGACAACTCAGTCTGGGGCTGCTACACGATGGACGTGATATGTGCTACAGCTTTTGGGATCGAGGTTGACTCATTGAATAACCCTAACCACCCGTATGTTACAAATGCCGAACGTGCTAATAGTTTTAAAGTGACAGATCCCGCAGTGCTTGGCATTTTATTTTTTCCACGATTGATGAAAAAACTACAACACATTCTACGCTACGTTCCCGGATTCCGTGGGGTATTAATGTCTTTCCTGTTTTTTGGCAACGAAACAAAAGGGCTACTGAAAGAGAGAGAACATGCCCAAGAGGGACACTACAACGATTTTCTACAGTTGATGCTCACCGCCCATACCATGTCAGCAACCGAAGTTGGGGACGACGAAAAGGAGGTTCAAAAATGGAAGAAAAAATCTCTAACGACGGAGGAAATTGCCGGTAACGGGTTGTTATTCTTTAGTGCAGGGCATGGCACCGCAAGTGATACCTTAGGGTTTACGACATATCTCCTAGCGGCCCACCCCGGCGTCCAGCAACGACTCATCGAGGAGATTGATGACGTTCTTCAAGGCACAGAACCCAGCTACGACAACGTGTCAAAGTTGACCTATCTAGAGCAGGTCTTAAACGAGGCAATGAGGCTGTATCCCGTAGGGTTTCGCATGGATCGAGTCCCGAACCAAGACACCACAGTAAACGGGTTATTCATCCCCAAGGGGACGTGCGTGATTATTCCGATCTACGCTATCCACATGGATCCTGAAAAGTATCCAGACCCGGAGAAATTCGACCCAGAGCGATTCACGCCGGAGGCCAAAGCAAAACGGAACCCTTACTGGTACATGCCCTTCGGAATGGGCCCCCGCAACTGTATTGGTATGCGTCTGGCCCTGCTCGAGATGAAGATTATCCTTGTGAAGGTCCTGCAGAACTTCACTTTGAAGACATGCGCGGAGACGCAAATCCCACTGGTTCTCTCTACATCAAAACCAATGAAACCCGAAAAGCCAATAGTATTGAAAGTTGAGGGTAGAAATGCGTAAATTGAATGCCATGTTTTCCAATAGGCCTAAAGTTAGTTTATTTTCATCCGGAGGCACTCTATACAGGATTTCCAAGCCAAAATGAATTTCTTTGAGAAAAAAAAAACAAATTTCTCATAATCATGCTTGACTCGTACTTGTAATTTGATAAGTTAGCTGTAAATGATTGGCCCTTCCTTTAGAATGGTATCTTTCAGACCTTCCCCGGGCATGGCCTAGTTTTCACTTCCCTCCACTTCATACCACAGGAAAATAGCGCAGTGCTAAATTGCAGCCCTGTGTTGTGTATAATACACACGTTGCGAGCTGCCAAAGTACCTGACAATAATTAGATGACATATCAGGCACTAGGTATGCTTAAAAAAAGATTTACGGATTTTTATCGTACTTACTGTCTTAAATGTGGACGTGCAGATTTTTCAAGATCAGACTGACTGTAGGGAAAATTCAATTTCGTGCAGTGTACCTTTAAGTTTAAACACGTATTTTCCATATCATATTAAAGTGCTCCTTTGAAATGCTGAGTGAAAGTTGATTTTAAAGCATCGCATTTGAGTTAATACCGGAAATGGATTTTTATTTTAAATTATTTAATTTTGTTAAAGGGACCTTGGAATAGACAGTTGCTTATTTGTTAAAGAATTGTGTTTATTATTCTAAATGGAAAAGAATGGAAAGGACAGGGTATTTAATATATGCTGATTGATCATCGTGAGAAAAACCAGTTTTATTACACGGAGACGATTCCTCACTAAAATTTATACATTTACTTAAATTTGAAAATGCAATTGGGTTTTCAAAAATAACTGAAAGCAACATTGAAAAAACTATGTACCAAGAAGAGTTGGCAAAATTGCCATATTCATCCCACATGTAATTGTTTTTGTGTAGAATCTATTGTCATTACTCAGCTTTGGAAATTCCTATATAACCAAGAGTGGCATATATTCGGACAGAGAATTGCATATATTTTACCTTCTTGAATAGATGTCAGTTGGCTAATATTTTATCCTAGCAGATATGTTTATTTAGTATGTTATGAAGTAAAATTCATGCTCTGGATTTTGATAACTTATATATATATATATATATATATATATATGGATACAAACTCGCATATGGTTGTTCTTCACTCTTGATTAAAATGTTTGTTCCAACTTTATTCTTTTATAAATGATTGTATGGCAGCTTTAAACCGTTCTGAATAGTGTTTTTTTTTAATTCCATATACCGAATTTTACATGACTTACTGTTAAAAAAGCCAAAACACCGGTGAGGATATCCATATCTTATACCATTAGTTCAAATTAACAACATTCGGCCATGTATCCCTTCATATATGGTTTTCTCACAGTGATTTCCAGCGAAGTAAAAAACAGACATAAAATTAGGAGACCACCGGTAGTCACCAAATGTATAAATAATTAGCATCAGAACGTGTTCAAAAGTATTTAAAATGACGCTTAGGTGGGGATTGACCTCTATCCTTTTCCAGATACGCCATAGATCAAACTTGAATTGAGTCAATTGCTATCCCAGTGTCACGACACTGAGGGTCCGCCTGACAGAGAGACCGACCTCCATATAGTTATAATGGTTAGGGTTAGTTTGACCCAAGTAGGTCAAAATCTAGGGCGAGGCTCACCTGTACAAATGAATGGGAAGCGGACTCTCTGTCATGGGAGACTTCCAGGTAGATGGCATTGCTTCTCAAGACTGCCCTTTCATCTCAGAGTGCTGTCTTCTCGCTGGGATTGTCAGCAAAATGGGGATTGACAGAAAAATAAAGTGTTCTGTCGGCGGAAGTGTTCGCCAAATATGTTCTCTTTCTCAAAATTCACATGGTTGCAATTGCTTGAATGGAAAACACACCAGCTTTAGCACATTTGAATGTTTTTTAATGTTTCCCTCTTTTCAGGGGCTTGCTAAAACTGAAATCGTCATTCTGTGCTCTTTCACGTCGTAGGTGATACCAAACTAAATCTCATCTCAGAAGAAAGTCATAGTGAAAAAAGGAATCTATGTGGGAACGCTCCGTGTTGGATTCTCAACCAAGGTGTCGTGTGCATCATCTACTTCAACGTTCAATGATAATACAATGTTCGGGGAAAAGCATTGTGCGGGATGAAATTCATTTTTTATGGCTCAAGGGCTATCGATTGGAATTTCGGACATTTACATGTGCATTCAAACTGGCCCTCTTCATGACAAGGCAGAAAATTTGCATTTGATCTCGAGTTTTCCAACGAAGCTTCCGCGGTTCCGCGGTAACTCCGATGACTGGGACGCACCTAGGGACACATTCGCTGGTTCGAGTACTAGAATGTCCACCTCCATTTTTGTTGCAGGAAATCATTTCTAAACTTTTTCTTTGGTTACTATAAGAGGAAACTCGTACCCACGGAGGGTGGGCGGGTCACTCACGGCGCAATCGGTAGCGTGCAAGGCTGTTAAAAAAGATGCAAACCAATCATCTACCATGGTAATGAGTCACGAGTAGTCACGAGTTCGAATCCCGGATGTGGCATGTAACCTTCCCCTCGGATACAAGCTGGTCACTTGATCGGGAAGGCGCGAAAACGAATGCACGCTCTCGTCGGTCCCGGCAAATTACCTTTTGCATTAAAAACCGGTATAGTTTCGCATAAGAGATCGATTTGACAACAACTTTTGCTGGTCCTTATCAAAATGTCTGCCTCGTCGATAACACTTCCTTACTCTTCATTTAGAGGATCTTAAAATGATGCCTAGGCGGGGATGGTCATTGATCACTATAATTTACCAGCTACGCAACGGATCAAACTTGAATTGATTCATTATAGCTAACCCGCCATGGTGCCATGCACGTCATACTGCCCTTTCATCTCAGAGTGCTGTCTTCTCGCTGGGATTGTCAGCAAAATAATTAATTTTTTTTTTCGAAAGTCACGTCACCGCCTTTGCTTTTCTCAATCTTACATTTTGTTGTTTTTTGTAAGGCCATCCCCTCCTCTTAGGGCCTTGCATCTGAAGACTGTTCATATTGTCCTACAGTACCCTGGGCAACTCCACAGTGGCCATTAGTAATGTCAAAGACTACTCAATTCCAAAGCTGCCAAAGTGTGAACCCCTTTAGCTCTCGTCGTGCTCGGTAACTTCACAGGTGAAGTCAGACGTAATCTCACTGCAAACCAAGATGAAAATGAAAGCATCAGAAATCATCTGGCCAGTTACGTTCCGGGCAGTCTTATCAATAAAAGCGATCAAACTTGATATTGTTTCGGTAGCTTTCCCGCTTTAGCACCACGTCATACCGCATGTAAACTGCGTTAAGCAGAAAAATAAAGTGTTCTGTCGGCGGAAGTGTTCGCCAAATATGTTCTCTTTCTCAAAATTCACATGGTTGCAATTGCTTGAATGGAAAACGCACCAGCTTTAGCACATTTGAACGTTTTTTAATGTTTCCCCCTTTTCAGGGGCTTGCTAAAACTGAAATCGTCACTCTGTGCTCTTTCACGTCGTAGGTGATACCAAACTAAATCTCATCTCAGAACAAAGTCATAGTGAAAAAAGGAATCTATGTGGGAACGCTCCGTGTTGGATTCTCAACCAAGGTGTCGTGTACATCATCTACTTCAACGTTCAATGATAATACAATGTTCGGGGAAAAGCGTTGTGCGGGATGAAATTAATTTTTTATGGCTCAAGGGCTATCGATTGGAATTTCGGACATCTACATGTGCATTCAAACTGGCCCTCTTCATGACAAGGCAGAAAATTTGCATTTGATCTCTAATTTTCCAACGAAGCTTCCGCGGTTCCGTGGTAACTCCGATGACTGGGACGCAGCTAGGGACACATTCGTAGGTTCGAGTACTAGAATGTCCACCTCCATTTTTGTTGCAGGAAATCATTTCTAAACTTTTTCTTTGGTTACTATTAGAGGAAACTCGTACCCATGGGTTTGGGCGGGTCACTCACGGCGCAATCGGTAGCGTGCAAGACTGTTAAAAAAGATGCAAACCAATCATCTACTAGGGTAACAAGTCACGAGTAGTCACGAGTTCGAATCCCAGATAAGGCATGTAACCTTCTCCTCGGATACGAGCTGGTCACGTGATCGGGAAGGCGCGAAAACGAATGCACGCTCTCGTCGGTCCCGGCAAATTACCTTTTGCATTGAAAACCGGTATAGTTTCGCATAAGAGATCGATTTGACAACAACTTTTGCTGGTCCTTATCAAAATGTCTGCCTCGTCGATAACACTTCCTTACTCTTCATTTAGAGGATCTTAAAATGATGCCTAGGCGGGGATGGTCATTGATCACTATAATTTACCAGCTACGCAACAGATCAAACATTAATTGAGTCAGTATAGCTGACTCGGCATGGCGCCACGGACGTCATACTACCCTTTCGTCCCAGAGTGGTGTCTTCTCGGTGGGATTACCAGCAAAATAATATTTAAAAAAATGTGTTTTTCGAAAGTCACGTCACCGCTTTTGCTTTTCTCAATCTTACATTTTGTTGTTTTTTGTAATGCCATCCCCTCCTCTAGGGCCTTGCTTCTCAAGACTGTTCATATTGTCCTACAGTATCCGGGGCAACTCCACAGTGGCCATTAAAATGGCAAAGACTGCAAGCAGGAAAAGAAAGTATTCTGTTGGCTGAATTGTTCGCCAAATATGTTCTCTTTCTCAAAATTCACATGGTTGCAATTGCTTGAATGGAAAATGCACCAGTTTTAACACATTTGAACGTTTTTCAATGATTCCCTCTTTTCAGGGGCTTGCTTAAACTGAAATCGTCACACTGTGCTCTTTCACGTCGTAGGTGACACCAAACTAAATCTCATCTCAAAACAGTCATAGTGAAAAAAGGAATCTATGTGGGAAAACTCCGTGTTGGCTTCTCAGCCATCTACTTCAACGTTCAATGATAATACAATTTTCGGGGAAAATCGTTGTGCGGGATGAAATTCATTTTTACGGCTCAAGGGCTACAGATTGGAATTTCGGACATTTGCATGTGCATTCAAACTGGCCCTCTTCATGACAAGGCAGAAAGTCTGCATTTGATCTCGAGTTTTTCGAAGAAGCTTCCGCGGTTCCGTGGTAACTCCGATGACTGGGACGCAGCTAGGGACACATTCGAAGGTTCGAGTACTAGAACGTGCACCTCCATTTTTGTTGCAGGAAATCATTTTTAAAATTTTGCTTTGGTTTCTATAAGAGGAAACTCGTACCCACGGAGGGTGGGCGGGTCACTCACGGCGCAATCGGTAGCGTGCAAGACTGTTAAAAAAGATGCAAACCAATCATCTACCAGGGAAACAAGTCACGAGTAGTCACGAGTTCGAATCCCAGATAAGGCATGTAACCTTCCCCTCGGATACGAGCTGGTCACGTGATCGGGAAGGCGCGAAAACGAATGCACGCTCTCCTCGGTCCCGGCAAATTACCTTTTGCATTAGAAACCGGTATAGTTTCGCATAAGAGATCGATTTGACAACAACTTTTGCTGGTCCTTATCAAAATGTCTGCCTCGTCGATAACACTTCCTTACTCTTCATTTAGAGGATCTTAAAATGATGCCTAGGCGGGGAT